AAATTTTTTGTTTGCCCTTCTTTTTTTAAAATTATAAATAGGGGCGGGTGGAAACAGTTATTTTAATTTTTTTTTTAAATACTCTCCAGATGGAATAAAAAAAAAAAAAACCCACAGAAGCCTAGAAATGGCAATATCTTACATCAGACAACAACTTTAGACTAATTTGTAGGGCATCTGGCAAAAAATAAAGATAAATTCACTCACATTTATTTTTTATTTTTTTTTTAATTTATTTTTTATTTTTATTTTTTTTAATATTTTTTATATTTTTATTTTTTTCAGTGAGTTAGGGGCGGGTGGAGGAGGGCATTGTTTTTGGCCTAACCTACAATCCCTGCCATATTTAGAATTGGTAATCATTTAATAGGATTTTCTTTGGGTCATTGTATAATCACATTCGTTTTGTGCGTGTAAAGTTCTCTCTTTTGGACGGTACAGTGCGTCGGCAGTGGGGTGAGTTTGTGTCATTTGAACGATTGTGGGATGCACTTTGAGTTTGTTGGATATTTAATAGCATTCTTTCAGACATGCCAACTGATTTTTGCGATGTGGTAAATATAATTGCCTTGCGATGTCAAAACACACCCTTCCATTACATGCAATTGTGGCCACCTTAGAACCAAGAAAAACGGTAGGTGGAGCTGCAGTGGTTATCGATGCAATATAGAACAATATTTGTACCAGTAGCTATATGCAATTTAGATATTTATGATAAACAAACGGTGTCATTACCGTAAATGCTTAAATAAAGCGCCGTGGCGCTTATAAATTTTTTGGAAGCTTCAGTACAGCGCTTATGCGGGAGCGGCGCTTATAAAAAATATTGGCGTGGCGCTTTCTATGCCCATTCCAATGTTACCTATCACGTATTCCCGTAGTTCAGTAAGCCTATCACATAGGTCCTACGTCATCGTAAATAAACGTTTATAAAGAAATGCTTGTGTCTTCATTGTGTTATTTATTCATTTTAACACAGTATAGGCCCTACTCTGTATTTAAAACCCTGTTTCTCAATGTTTTATTACACACAGGGGCAATAATATACAATACTCTCAATTAAGCGCCGCGGCGCTTAGCGAAAAAAAAATCAGGTTTTGTGCAGCGCTTATTCGAGAGCGGCGTTTACTCGAGCGTTTACAGCAAGGTGTTAAATACTGTATCACGTAGCATGGGTTTGAAATAGTTTATTCTCTCAGTAGGCCTATAATAAGATACCTATATATTAGCTTTCTTTGATGCTGTGTATTGTTTTTAATCTGTTTCACAATGTTTTATAAGGTTGTGAAACGTTTTTATTAAATTCTTTGATAAGCATTACCGTGTATTATTGTAACCTTGATGTGTTAGTAACTCGTGTACCGACCTACATTTAACTCATTTATAATAGAGGTAACGCATTTCATTTCAATAGGACGCAACCGAGCCGCTCACGGGCAAGTGTTTGCAGTGGCTTGCCATGAGAAACGCTCTTTATTGGCAACTCGAAACAAGAAAGACGAATTAGAATAACTCGCAGGCGATAATGTAACTCGTGTAAATATTTAAGTATAGAATGCGGTAAAAATCGACTCTGTGGAAAATATTTTAGGTATACAATATGTAACTCATGGGATATATAGTAATTAGGCCTATTATTTGTAACCATGACTTTCCGCAATCTGTAGAGCCTGCGTAGGGACTTGCGTTAACCGTAATTGTCATGTCTCACGTAGCAGCATCTGCGAATACAAAGACTGAATTATTGCTTTCGTCTGAATTCCTCCATTTTTTCGGCCACCCTGCTTTTGCTTTTTCTCAGACAAGGCAAATCTCATAATAATCTTTTCATAAAATTATCCAAATACAATTATCCAAAACAAGGAATGTCTTTAAACGTTTAGGGTTGAAACCGTGGTGTAGTGCCGCAAAGGCTACCTTAGTGAAAGAAATAAATTGGCTTCTCATTTTCAGTGGTGGCGCCAGGACCTGCCCGACGGAGGGGCTAAAGGCCCCGACGGGGGGGGGCTAGTGGAGCGAATCGAGTCTCACTTGGCTGGGGCCAGGGGGCTGCCTAGGGCCCCCGATGGGGTGCAGGGGGCGAAGCCCCCTGGAAGCCACGGATATTTGATGAATTATGGCGAATTTGTATTACTTATTTGATAGGCATCGAGTTACTATAATATGACTTCATGTAGGCTATGCTTTCTAATGTTGACATCAGCTTCATTTTGAATAAAGCAAGAAACAAAGATTATGCAATGTAACCATCTATTTTATTTTCAAATCCTCTTTCTTGAAAGTGAAATTCTATATTTTGGAAATTCTGCATGAAATCTGTCAACCGCGTTGTCATGGTCGAGGTTGCTTCACCTATCACGATGTATTTCAACCATCATGAGGCTATCTAAATGAGCATTTGTCATAACAGAACGCAAATTATTTTTAATTAGTCTCATAGAATTATTATTATTATTATTATTATTATTATTATTATTATTATTATTATTATTATTATTATTATTGTGGTTGTTGTTGTGATGAAAAGCCCCCCCCCCTCTGGTGCCACCACTGCTCATCTTCCTATCAAATGAAGAGAGAAGCAATTTCTGGCCTTAGGCAATCGATGTACCATTGATAGCTAATCCTCCGCGTGGAAATGTGTTTGATTTGGCCTTTATGCTTTTAATGATTTACTTAGGCCTAGATAAATGGAACAATAATTGTGTATAATAAGGTCCTCTTTCATGGAGCGACGGCTTAACATGAATGACAATGTAGAAAATGGGACTGAGAAGATTAACAACAAGGCTAATTATATTATTTTATTGAAGTTAATTTGATTTTGTTGAAGCTGGCGACTAAAAGCTTCCACAGGAAATACAACCAATGCTAATGAAACCCCATTTACTGAAGGTGATGCCGAGCCGAACCTTATGTACGGTGTATGCTGAGCACACATCGTGTCGTTGACGCGATTTCATGGTTATCACAACGCGACGAGGCACGCCCGTCGGATCGTTTTTAACAACGATTCACTGCTATCGAAAATCAGTAGAAGGCGTCACGTCGCTAATCGCTTACACCTGCTTACACAGAGCGCGGAGATAGATTGGTCGGCCGATGATCGATCGCTAGCCGCCGCCGGCTTAATTTCCATGTGAAGTGTACGTACAGTATCGTAAATGCCTATCCCCCACGTATATATATATGTAGGGCCTATGTCTATCGTATGTACATGTCTACGTCTACATGTGTATGTTTTACATGTCTGCATATGTCTCTCTGTATGTATAGTCCTGTGTACAATATGTCTACGTATGTTTATCTGTCTGTGTCGACGTTTGTAGCCTTTTATATATCTACATTTGTGTATGTATGCGTGTGTGCATGGATGAATAATGTATGCCACTATATACCCTTTTCTCTCTAATGATTTATTCTATCTATTAAACCTTTCATAATATTGAATACTGAAAGAGATTAAAACGTATGCCTAGTTATCAAAATTACCGTTTAATCAAGGTAACGACGACAATGATGATCATTATTAATAGCGATTCTCAGCATAAAATGTAAGTATCATAAAC